AATGTTTATTATGTGCCTAATATGAAGAACAATATTTTTAGTTTGGGACAACTCTTAGAAAAAGGCTACAATATATCTATGAAGGATTGTAGTCTTTCGATAAGAGACCCATTGGATAATTTGATTGCCAAGGTTCCAATGACAAAGAACCAGATGTTTTTGCTAAATATTCAAGCCGACGAGGCTAAATGTTTGAAGGCTTGTGTTAATGATTTAACTTGGCTTTGGCACTTGAGATTTGGGCACTTGAATTTTGGAGGATTAGAGTTGTTGGCCAAAAAGAAGATGGTGAAGGGATTGCCTTTCATTAGCAATCCAAATCAATTATGTGAAGGATGTCTCGTTGGAAAGCAATCAAGGAAAAGTTTTCCTAAAGAAGCTACCACAAGAGCTACGGCACCACTACAACTTATCCATTCGGATGTTTGTGGTCTAATTTCTCCATCATCATTTGGTAAGAATAATTATTTTTTATTTTTTATTGATGATTTTAGCCGAAAAACATGGGTGTATTTTCTTAAACAAAAATCGGAGGTGTGTGAAATTTTTAAAAAATTTAGAGCACTTGTTGAAAAACAAAGTGGCTATGATGTAAAGGCTTTTCGATCCGATAGAGGTGGTGAATTCACATCAAATAATTTCAAAAAATTTTGTGAAGAAAATGGAATTCACCATCCTTTAACGGTTCCGAGATCGCCCCAACAAAATGGAATTGCAGAAAGGAAGAACAGAACCATTCTCAATAAGGCTCGAAGCATGTTGAAAAGTAAGGAAATGCCTAAAGAATTTTGGGCTGAAGCGGTTGATTGTGCGGTGTACTTGTCCAATCGGTGTCCTACTAGAAGTGTGCAAAACAAAACACCACAAGAAACATGGAGCGGAAGAAAGCAAAGTGTCTCCCATTTGCGGGTTTTTGGGAGCATTGCCCATGTGCACGTGCCGGATGAAAGGAGGACCAAGTTAGACAGCAAAAGTGAAAAAATGGTGTTCATTGGCTATGATGCAAATTCCAAAGGCTACAAGTTGTACAATCCAAGCAATGGGAAGATTGTCATTAGTAGAGATGTTGAATTCGAAGAAGGAGCCACATGGGATTGGAACACTCCAAATGAAGATTATAATATTTTTTCAATTTCAGATGAGGAGCAAGAAAATGAAGGCATGGAGCAACCCATTTCTCCACCAACATCACCTCCACCGCCATCAATTCAAGATCAATCAACTCCATCATCATCAAGTTCAAGTGACACACCATCACTTCGTATGAGGAGTCTTCGTGACATATATGACGAAACAGATGAGGTAACGGAAAGGTTAGGTGATCTAACACTTTTTTGTCTCTTTGCGGATTGTGAACCCGTAGGATTTGAAGAGGCGGCACAAGACAAAAAATGGAGAAATGCTATGGATGAAGAAATTAAATCCATAGAGAAGAATGACACATGGGAGCTTGCTACACTTCCAAAAGAGCAAAAGGCAATTGGTGTCAAGTGGGTGTATAAAGCAAAGCATAATGCAAATGGTGAAGTTGAAAAATATAAAGCAAGATTGGTCGCCAAGGGGTACAACCAAAAGCCCGGAATTGACTATGATGAGGTATTTGCACCCGTAGCTCGTTTGGAAACAATTAGATTGTTAATTTCTTTGGCAGCCCAGAACAATTGGAGAATCCACCAAATGGATGTGAAATCGGCTTTCTTGAATGGGTTTCTTGAAGAAGAGGTGTATGTTCAACAACCCATGGGCTATGTTGTAAAGGGGCAAGAAAACAGAGTCTTGAAATTGAAGAAGGCTTTATATGGCTTGAAGTAAGCACCAAGAGCGTGGAATAAGCGAATTGACAAATATTTTCAAGACAATAATTTTTCAAAGTGCCCATATGAACATGCTCTTTACTCCAAAGTAAGTGAGAATGGAGATGTATTTTTTGTTTGCTTGTATGTGGATGATTTAATCTTCACAGGTAGCAATCCAAAAATGTTTGAAGATTTCAAGAAGGTTATGGCTCGAGAGTTCGAGATGACAGATATTGGCATCATGGCTTATTATCTTGGCATTGAGGTCAAGCAAATGAAGGATGGAATTTTCATTCACCAAGAAGGCTATGCTAAGAAAATTCTTAAGAATTTCAAGATGGAAGATTGTAAATTGGTGAACACGCCCATGGAAGTTGGAATTAAATTGTCAAGAGATGAAGATGGAGAGACGGTGGATCCAACATTTTTCAAAAGTCTTGTTGGAAGCTTGAGATACTTAACATGCACAAGGCCGGACATATTATTTGCGGTTGGGCTTGTTAGTCGGTTTATGGAAAGACCCACCATAACTCATTTCAAGGCGGCTAAGAGGATTCTTCGTTACATCAAAGGTACCCTTGATTTTGGGTTATTCTATTCATTTTCTAATGATTTCAAGCTTGTGGGTTATTGTGATAGTGATTGGGCCGGAGATTTGGATGATAGAAAAAGTACTTCGGGCTATTGTTTTTTCATGGGAAATACTGCTTTTACATGGTGTTCAAAGAAGCAACCCATTGTCACCCTCTCAACTTGTGAAGCAGAATATGTTGCAGCCACTTCATGTATTTGTCAAGTAATTTGGTTGAGGAATTTGTTGAAGGAATTACACATGCTACAAGAAGAGTCAACGGAGATTTTTGTGGACAACAAATCAGCAATTGCTTTGGCCAAGAATCCGGTGTTTCATGAACGAAGCAAGCATATTGATACAAGATTTCATTTCATTAGAGAATGTATAACTAAGAAGGAGGTGGAGCTCAAGTTCATCAAGTCACAAGATCAAGTTGCGGATATTTTCACCAAGCCCCTCAAGTTTGCAGATTTTCACAAGTTTAGGAGTTTGCTTGGAGTTGAAAAAAAATCAAGTTTAAGAGGGGTGTTAGAAATTAAACTTTATTTTATTTAGTGTTTTATATTTATGTGAGTTTTTTATTGGAGTTAGTGGGGGGCATGAGAGTTACAACTAGTAAATGGTCATGTTAGTGGGTTAGTGGGAGTTTTGCCTACTAAATGATATGTTAGTGGGGTTTTAAGTTTCATTTACATTTATGTTTTGAAGCCTATATAAACCCATGCATTGTACTCATTTTCTATCAAGTGAAATAAAAAGTATTTTCCTCCATTTCTATTATCTTCCAAATAGTATAGTGTTGTGTGTGTAACTAGGCCACTATTTCCAACAGAGTCTTCATATCATTTGGAATTCTTATTTAGTCGAATATTCCATATCGAGTACTAACTTTACTTTGACTTTATGGGGTTGTTTTAGATGGACAGAAGATAATGTTGACACCAAGAGGGGGAGGGATGAATTGGTATAAAAATTTCTTCTCTGTTAGGGTGAAAGTTTTCAAGCTAACTAAACTTGGTGCTAAAATGCAGCTGAATCAAAACAGTCTCAGTGAAACCCTAGAAATCTCCAACTGTTTGATGAAATGTGTGAGCTAAAAAATACTTAAGGCCACCAAGGATTTTTTACAAGGAAAATCTCCCCGGAGATAAAAAAAATCTTGAAGTTCTAGGAACTCACCCTCAATCCACCATGTATGCTCAATAGGTTACACATTCGGCTGACTCACTCTCAACACAAACCGTACCAACTTAGTTGGGTGTAGTTCCTGTTTTGCTTGGTTCCACTTAGTTGACTGAATTCAGATTGAGATGACTGCAACTTTGTTTTAATAAAAGTGTTTTATAATGTTAAAATAATAAATTTATTTTTATTTTATTTTTCGGCTTTTGGGCGTTTTTATTATTTAAAGTCATAATTTATTCTTGCAAATTCTGAAATGAAAAATTAATTCTTTAGTCTCGTCATAATATATTGTGAGATATAAAATCTGTAATTGATGAATTTCGTTATCAGAACAAGTCTGATCAAGTTATAATTTTAAGTTCAAATTTTCAGTTCGAGATCGGAAGCGGACTGGAAGAGTTGTTTGTGATCAATAACTTGACGACTTCGAAAAATATAAGAACAATACCTTAGGAAGTTAAGTTAGAAGGTAAGGACACTTGCATGTATTGCATGTTTTAAAAAATAAGCGTTGTTGAAATTTTTCTAAGCGTAAAAGCCTTGGTTCAGGTCTGGCCAACTTGAACCGGTTCAAGGGCAGCTAAACCGGTTCAAGTGTTAAAGCTTTATTTTAAAAATATACTGGCCAACTTGAACCGGTTCAAGTTTTACAGCAGCTTTTGGTAACTTTGTTTACTACTCAGTTTCAACTTCCTATTCTGTATAGACTTTCTTCTAAAACCTTATGCACGAAATTGACTTATTTTCTAAGTACAATCAGAGTCTCAACATATTTTCTCACTTAGGGTTGTGTGGTTTTTGCATTAAAATTTTGATTTTCATTAAGAGCATTTTTGTGAGATTTATACACACACAGACACAAGTGAATTAGGGTGTTGTTCGAGTTCTAATTGTGTTCAAGTCTATTGAAGATTACATCTACTACAATCAGAGAAAATATATTTTATTTATTCTACAACAAATTCAGATTCAAAGAAGAAGAGTTTCCGATCACACTTTGAAGGGATCAAGGCGCTTGCAGAGAAACAATATTTTTTTTAAATTAATTTTTTTTTACTTATTTTTTGAAAGTTGAAGGACTCAAGTGCTCATAAAAATAGTTCAGGGATATTTTGTAATTCTAGAATAGTTTAATGAGATAATTTGCACTTCGGCACTTTAACTTAAAATACATTCTAAAACTCATTATCTTAAAAAAAAAATATATTCTAAAACTCATCATCTTAAAAAGATTTCATTCTTAAAAATAAATATTTATTTTGAAAGAGAGGGAGTACTCTTTATGAAATATGACAAAAACTTTAATTTTCGAACTCTTCCATTGCTTTCACATCGAAATTCAAAAGAACCGCGTATAAGTGTCAGTTTCGCATATATTTTGTCGCAACATTGATCATTTCAAACATTAGACCAAACCAAATCTCTTTTCCCCATATCCGCTTTCTCTCTCTCATCTTTTTACATTTTGATCTCACTATTTATAACTATAAACTAACTCACACACACAAACACACATCTATATGGTCTGCATCTTGCTCGCATATCTATATAATTTGTACCTGAATACACCTCTCGCCGACCATTTCTACTCCAAACAAAAACTACCACAAATTCAGCTCGTTTCTCTCTCATCCGATCGTCTGCTCTCTCTCTTCTTTCTCTCTCTAGTTTTCTCTTTCTATCTCTAAGTTTCTTTGCAAGTTTTCTGAGTTAGGATTGCGGGTGAAATGGGCCAACAGTCTTTGATCTACAGCTTCGTCGCTCGAGGGACAGTGATCCTTGCAGATTACACAGAATTCAAGGGCAATTTCATGAGCATCGCCTCTCAATGCCTCCAAAAACTTCCCTCCACCAACAACAGATTCACCTACAATTGCGATGGCCACACCTTTAATTACCTCGTCGAAAATGGCTTCAGTGAGTCCGTAGCTTTCTCATATCAATTGATTATTTTTATTGTTTCTTGGCAAATGTGGTCCGTTTTGTTGATTAATTTTTCAATTGAAATCAATGTTGATTTGTATGTTTTGATTGTTAATAGTGTTCCGTTGTGTAGTATACACACACATACATACAGAGATTTACGCATTTGCATTTACCCTGATGAAAGTAGATTTGGGGACAAGAAGTTATTGGGTCTTGAGGGCAAAGGTTGATTTTTTTTTTTTTTTAGATCATTTGATATATATCTAGAATACACAATGACAAATGAATCTGCAATAGAAATGATAAAAAAGAAAAAGAAAAAATAGTAATACCATTCAAGCCCAGACAAATAAACTGACTAAACCAATGGGACAAAAAAATGAAAAATAGGTATATATTCATGTGGACCCTATACAATATGATCTCATCATTGCCTATCAGTCATCTTCAATTCGCATGGTTAATCAGCTTAATTTTTCACTTTGGAAAGAATTTTTGATCAAACAATTATCCCGTGTTTTAAACACATTGTTTTGGAAAACAAGGCAGGGTAGCAATTTTTTTTACTGTTTGATATAATTAAATACATCTGTAGTGGGATGTAATTGATTTAGTGCGGGTACATGAAAAACTGGGAACTAACAAGAAAACTGAATGTATGGAGTGTAACATTAGTTATAACGACTACTATTAAAAGGAAAGTGCTATAAGACAGATATAATACTGATCGTTCTTTATGGGAGAGAATGTTGGACAGCTAAGAAACAACATATGTATAATGCGAGTATGATATAAATGTGAATGGTAAGATGATTGTGCAGGACAATAAATGATAGAATTAGAAATGAACAGAGATAGTTGAAGTAGCGCCAATTGGAGATAAAATGAGAGAAAATTGGTTAAGTTGGATTGACATGCGCAAAGAAGACTACAGAGTGCAGTAGTTAGGAAGACTGACATGGTTCACATTGAGGATAATGCTATTAGAAGGGGAAGGAAAACTAAATTTAACGTAGGTAAAATAGAGCAGAATGAAAAAATAGGATTCATGTAAGAAATAAAATGTTAGTTTCATGTCACTTGTTTGATTTTAATGATCAAATGTGTGCTATCGGACAAGTCATGCTAGATTGAAATCATAACTGTTCAATTTTTGTAGTTCAGTTTTGACCTTCTCAGCGTATGTGGGCAGATTACTCTCTGTAATTTATGTTCATCAATCTGAGTACTTTTCTTGTTTCTAGTTTTTGGTAGTTCCTTCTGAATTTTTTTTCCTTGATTCAAATTTGATAGAGATAACTTATGGAGTAAGTGGGGATTGACTAATTTGAATGAGTATTTAGCCGATCCAATATTCCTAATTCACTTCAATAAAATATGGTAGTTAACTTTGCTAGAAGTGGTAAATGGCAAGAGATACTGCTCATGTGCTCATCCTTAGGCGACCAAAGCTATCATAGTTTGAGCCCAGTATTGCATGATATTATGGTAGAGTGGTTAATAAAACACTGCACCCCTTTTTGGTCCTTATTATGTTTAAAGTTGCTCTTTGCATAGTAGGGTAAAAGTAAGGAAAAAAAATCATAAAAGAAATGTCAGATTTATTTTACTTGAGGCAATCTGGAGCCATCTATTTTGATTGTTAAAGTTCAATTTGTTTATCATTTGCAGTTGCTTTTAGGTGTCTTGTATTGATGTGGTATTAATTATGCACTTTTCTGTTGGAATCTGCAGCTTATTGTATTGTTGCAGTTGAGTCTGCTGGCAGACAGATTACCATTGCCTTTTTAGAGCGAGTTAAAGATGATTTTAACAAGAGATATGGTGGAGGGAAAGCTGCAACTTCTGTTGCCAATAGCCTTAACAAGGAATTTGGGTATCTATCCGTATCTCACTTTAGTGGATTTATCATTGTGGTTTCTGTCTATGATCCATATTGCTCAACACTTATGCCTGTCTTATAGGCCCAAACTGAAGGAGCAGATGCAGTACTGCGTGGATCATCCAGAAGAGATTAACAAGCTTGCGAAGGTGAAGGCTCAGGTTTCTGAAGTCAAGGGAGTGATGATGGAAAACATCGAGAAGGTAAGGAGCTACGTGGTTTTCTTTTTTCCTTTTCGTGATAGTCTCCAAGTCCACCCTCCTAAACTGCTCCTTATTCCTTTTCCTCTTTCAAGGCTTTAACCTGCAACCAAAAGACGTGGCCTCCTTACCCTTGAAACGAAAAGGGAGAACTAGAAACTACTTTATCTAGAAAACCTGCATCCTCCAGCCGCATCTTTTCAAATTGGAAAGGGGATGGCCTTCTCTTTATACCTGCCCCCTTACCCATATGTTTTGACATTGCAGGCATTGATTGAGAAATTGTCTCTTTGTAATGCTTGATATGCTATCCATTTTGGTTAATGAAATATTCACATTTTGGCAGGTTCTTGACCGTGGAGAGAAGATTGAGCTGCTTGTGGATAAAACTGAGAACCTTCGCTCACAGGTAATTATGTATTGGCGTTTAATTAACAGTGGAAACCATGAAAAGTAAAACTAAATATTGTTTTGTACCAAATCCCTCTAGAAGCCATGGGAACATTTTGGACGAATTTGGGTGGTTTTACATAGGATGCGACTTGGTGAGATTTAACCTGACCTGATGAGGTGTTAGGTGGGCTATGTTACCTGACTTGGGTACGAGTATGTATCGACGAGTCGGATATGATGTATCAACACTCCAAATAAGACACATGGACACTAATAATCATTAATATTATTTCATATTTTATTTTATTTTCTATAGTAAAATAATGTATTTATGTAACATTATCTAAGCATTTCATTCATTTTGAAGCAACTTGATGTGTTTTTTAGGTGAATGTCTAACTAAAAGTGTTAGACACATATACCATACCCACATATCCCATATCCATGTCCGAGTATTGTGTGTCTGACACGGGTACTCATGTACTTTTGAAGAGTCCATGTAAAATAAGGTGGCCTAGGCAACTATGTTTTGCACCTTGCAGTGTGCTTTTGGCTGGTAAATGCCAACCAGACCTCAGCTTGGGCTGGGGTAATGTTTAACCTATCCAAAACCAAAAGGCAGCCTTGTCAAATATTTATATTATCAATCACTCTCACATATGATCCCCCTATCCTTATATCTGAAGACCTGACCTTATCATCGCCCAAAATTCTCCTAAAACATCCATGTTACCATGTTTGCTTCAACATTTTGATAGCCAATTTAAAGGTTGAAATGAAATGTTTTAGCTTCTATTCATCTTCTACATTTATCGACATCTATAATGTTTAAATTGTATTCCATTTCCAAACCAGTCATTAATTTCTTGCACGAATTCATATTTAAGGCCTGCCTGTTCTTTTCTTTGGCCTTCAGAGCAACCTCTGGATTGATGAATAATTAAACTTGAATTAAATGGCCATGAGGCTAGTTTAGTGACTAACAAACCTAAGTTTAGAAATCTGATTTAGGCATTAGCCTCTCTAACAAGATTCTACTCGCCCATGGTGTGCTTTTAGATTTACCTAAGGATTAAAGCAAGCAAGGAAGACATTTTCATTAATTACATGAAACTGGAATTGGAATAGCTCTTGTTTCAAATTTGAACTATTTCCATGTCTCTCTCTTTTTGTATGTTTCCTTGTTTTATTATGGTGACATCTGATGGTTAAATATTTGGTTGTTTAAATCAATGGCATGTTATAGGCACAAGATTTTAGACAACAAGGGACCAAGATTAGGAGGAAGATGTGGATCCAGAACATGAAGATAAAACTAATTGTCATCGGTATCGTTGTTGCCTTGATTCTCATAATTTTTATGTCTATTTGCCGTGGCTTCAGTTGTTTGTCTAATAACTAAATCACTCCATTTTCTTTATGCTAGCCTTTTAGGATGGTGAGGGCATGTAATTTTTGATTGGCTGTATAGTTGATATTCAGGAATGGTATAAATAGCTGCCATGGGACTTTGGGTTCCATGTTATTAAACATTTGTTCAGCATGCAATGAAAGAATATGTTGATTCAGTGCTCCCGAACATAGCATGAATGTTTTTCTCTTTTTATTTTCCTTTTACTTTGTTCTTTCTTTGCTTTTTCTTCCCCTCATCCCGGTCTTGTGCTGCTAAATGGTTCGTAAAATTGGTTCTGTAGTTTGTATATGAAAGGTTGTTATTCTTTTATGGGACAATGCTCCTGGTAATAGAAAAAATGAATCTGTAAGAAATATTTCATTAGGTGAAAGGGTTTTTCTCTAAAGCCAAATAAATATATTTTTTTTGATAGGCTTGTAAAATGTTTCAATTGAGATAAATGGAGTTTTTCAGATTCCCCCTCCCTCCCCCCCCCCCCCCCCCCCATTTTGCTTTTGTTTAAAAGTACCTTTTCTATTTGGGCAGGAAAAAAAGGATTATATGACAAATGAAAATGGTCAGAAGTTGTTATAGGTTCTCCTTTTGCCCTCAAATATTGATCAGAATTATTTCAATGTTTCACAAATGTTTGGGTTTCTTTCAAAATCCGGAAGTCATGGATATATTTTTTACTTTTACTTTTACTTTTTATTGGGAGAGATTTTGCTCTGGACACTTTTCTCAAGAAAATATTCTAATCAATATGATGATGCTGTTAACTCTTATTGTGCTCTAAATTCTACAGTAATGTAAAATCAAGTCCTTTTACCTTTATATATATATATATATATATATATATATATCCCTCTATGTTATCTTTAAGAAAACATTTTGCACTAATGTGAATACAAGCCAAGCTAGAAATTGATTCGTCATAATGAGGAAAAGAGATACATATAGCCCAAAAATAAGCTGATTTTATTTTTCATTGGGATCAAAATATGAAGAGTCATAGATAGCTTGTTACTTTGTTGAGAAACCTATGAATGTTGATTTTCCACCTATTTTTCATCACTGTTTATTATGGAAACTGGTGTGCTATGTCGCGTGCACCCCAAAGCTTAGCAAAAGATGTTGGATTAAGATGAGTGTGGTCAAGTTTTACATTTATAATTTGCCACTACTACTTTTCACTAAAAATATAGTTAGGGCGAGCAGGGATCGTCCCAAAGGATTGGTGGGTCGTATTAGGTTGTGGAATCGAGATTAGAGTTAGTAGGTCGAGTGATCAAAAGATTGGTTAGTGATTGAATTATACTAAGATGCAATTTAAATTAAAGTAAACAATTAAATGCAATAGAGAAGAAATAAGAGAAAGAGATCTTGGGGTTTAAAGATCACCACTAAGCATATATTTTCTACACCCTTAATGAATGATTAATGAGGGGGAAAACATGTATTGCAACAATAGTATGTGTGTGTGGTTGTTTCAACAAGTATGGATGACTAATTAAGTATATATTGTCTAAGCAACATGGTGGATAACACTATATATCAAACTAAGCCATTAATCATTTCCTTAAGCTCACAATCCAAACACATCACAAGGTTAGAGACATATGCTACTTGTTTTCATAACTATGGAATATCAAACAACAAGCATGGATTGTCCTCCCATTTAATATCTAAACTACAACTACACTACAATTAGGCTAATGACATGAAATTAAACTAAGGGAGAGGCACAATCCATCAAGAAATGAGTATGAACCATCAAATAAACCACAAGAGCATTCTATTAAGCATTATGTCTTGACAATCTCTAGATTTATAGCATCAATACACATAGACATGCATCAATAATACAAAATCTAGAGACAAACATATGAACGTCTATTCTAACATACATAGACATATGGATATAATGAAATGATCAATTGGAAGCATTAAACCACAAAAATCATTGAATAAACAAGATCTATGTATATAAAAATGTCAAAACATATATCACAATACAAATTCCTTCAAAAATACATAAATCAAGATGTAGAAAGCATGCTTAGGGCTAACTCTAGCCCCAAGAAGATGTCTAGCCACTCATGGATGGTGTCCTCCAACCTTCAAGGGCTAACTCTATGGTAGAAATTGCTCATCTTCTCGGTTGATGGAAGAACTCCAAACTTATGTCTCTAGCCTCCTCTCTTCTTTTCTTCCTCACTAAGAATATGATATGTCAATTGTGTCCAAAGTCTTTCTAGTATATGTATGTATGTATATATGCTCTCAAGAATGACTCATATTCCTTATATAGGTAGGTTAAAATGTCACCCCCAATGACCTGGGCTCGTACACCAATATTTCTCCCAATGATTGGATATGAGACAACTTTTAATAAGCTGGGAATTAAATTTTCTTGCACTTGGGGAAGTTCGATCGATCGAACATTCTTTAAGATCGATCGAATATGGCTGAGATCTATCGAACTTAAGCTGGATTGTAATACCCCTAATTTAAAAAGGATAGGTTTGGAATTTATTTTATTGTTTAAATTATATTTTTATTTATTTAATTATGAATTGGGTTGTTTTAATTGAAAATTTATTTAAATTTCATTATGAGTTTATTGGGTTTTATGTTTATACCTTGTTTTAGTTTAATTGTTTTCATGGTTGTGTTTTGATTGCATTTAGTTATTTTTTTTAGGATTAAATGCTTTACTTGATTTAATTTAACTGTTTAATTGATTTAATCTAATTTAATAAAATGGTTTGATTAATTTAATTTAAGTGGTAATTATTTTAATTTAATTGTATTTTTAAATAGGGTTTTGTTTTAAAAGTCAGTTGTTGCCGACGTAGGTTTTATTAGGTTTCTTTGGGTCGGTGAGGATTTTTAGGAGGGTTGGAATTAATCTAGGGTTTAGTAAAACCCTATAAATATATGTGAGATGTCTGTATAGGGTTTTAGAAAAACAAACAAAACCCTATTCACGTCTCTAGAGATAGAGAAGCAACAGAGTAGTTTTGCAGTGGGAATCGTCGGAAAGCTTTAGAGATGGCGTAGAGATTTTGAACAAAGATCTCAAAGGCAAGTTCTAATCTTACTCTCTCCCTTATACTCGTGTTCTTTGCATATTAAATTGGTTCCAGGTTTATTATATGAGTTTAAAACAAAAATAGATAGGCTATCTGTTACTAGGACGCAAACTGTTAGTCCTAGGTTTGGTTTGATAAACTATTAAAGCTTGGAACTGATCTTGCATTGTGCTTGGTTAAATCCATATTAGTAAGTATAATCAAGGCTTAAACCAACATTAGAATTTACTGGGAATTACTTAGAAATTTCTGGAAATCAAAACGGTGATCTGTAGAAGGGTTATACGTAGCCGGAAAAGAGAACAAGAGGTAGAGGAGGGGGAGAGCCGGCTCTCCCTTGATTGGAGCCGGCTCTCCTTGAGGTGGAGGCGGCTCCTAGGAAATTGGAGCCGGCTCCAAGGCTATTGGAGGTGGCTCCAATATTTGGGGAGCCGGCTCTACTTTTATTTTTCAGTTTTTACTACGTTCTGTTTGTGGTGTCTTCAGTTTTCAGTGAAGTGGCTTCTTGGGGGGTTGATTTTCTAAGTTTTTCTAAGTAGAATTATGACTGTAATGGATGGTTTAGCAATGGTTTAGAGTAGGATTAAAGTCTCCAAGAACAGAATAATACAGAATTGAACTCAGAGCATTAAATGTTAAAAGTCTGTGGAAGTATTTCTGTGTGTCTTACAGAGATGTATGAATTTGGTGAATTCTCTGTGTACTTCCTGTTTAAGGGATAGTGTTGATTGAATAGGGAATTAAAATATTTCTTGAAGCACATTGGAATCTAATTTAGACACTTAAGAACTCTAAGTATGAAGAACAGAGAAGAAACGCTTTAAGTTTGCAAAGAGACGGCTCATAGAAGCAAAGAGCAGGCTCTTTGCAACCAAAGAGCAGGCTCTAAGCAAAGAAAGAGCAGGCTCTTTCGGTTAAAAGAGCAGGCTCTTCCATTTGAAAGAGTAGGCTCTTTCACGGGCTTCCAGTTTTACGTATTCTGCGACCAATTTGGCTACGGAACTCGGATTTTGGATTTTTCAGAAGCTGTAGGAAGCTATACTTGGGTGTTTTGAGATGTTCTAAGTCTAATTAACACTTGTAAGAGTGGATTAAAGTTTAATAAACCAATATGTGTTTATACCTTAAACATTAGTAAGCATCGACGGAAGTTGTTCATTATAGTGCAGGGAAATTATAATTTTACTGAACTTAATTTATATTCTCTGTGGATGGAAAATGGATTATTATGATGCTATTAATAGTGACAAGCATGATAATTAATATAGTTAAGTTTATTGTACTTGTCATAGACTCGTGGGACGAGAATGATGAATTATCTGCATGCTCAGAAATATGATAATTTATAATGGAGATATGGGATGAATATGATAACCTATATATTTATTTTATATTCATCATGGTATTAATTGATATGTCTTATGATTTTGGGTTATCAATTACTGGAGTAAACATGTGAGTCTATATCTCTATTTATGCTTATTACGGCTCAGTTGCTATGTGCATTGTTTATGTTTGGTATCAACTGTTGGATGGAATGGATTGTATGTACCGGTATGAGACGGTGACATACTAGGTTTGGACAGCACAAGTTGCTAAGTCCTACCTATTTGGAATGAGGGTACGGGTTATTAAATAAATCCTCCTTATATGTATGTAAGTCGGTGCGGTGGACTACGCCGAACGACTTAATGGATTTCTTGTGGATGGATGGAATTGGGGTTTAAATATATTTTTATGGTACCGTGACCTGAGCTTGAGTCTCAGAGTCAACGGTTTGGATGCGTATATGCAGTTGGATGTGTAGCTGACTGTGGGGATTGAGGTATACCCTGTTTAGGCTTAGGTACTCATACCCACTCAGGTGCGATTTGTGTAATGCCTTCTATTCAGGTTGAGACCCTCTTCATAGTCTAGCGAGAGTCCAGTAGTGTGGATATATATTTATGTATGAACTATTAGCTATTGTTGAACTATTTAGTATGTACATGCGTATCGGGTCTCTGCTTGGATTGCAGTAGGATAGAACTTGTTTGTGGGCCTGACCCACTCCTATTTTACAGGTGTACGTCAGTTCCAGGCTTGAGCTTGATCGTGTGGAGCAGAGACGGTCACTCATTCTTCCGACGATGTAGGATCTCTTTCCAGATGTTCGACTTGGATTTTATCTTCAATTTTACTTTGATTCAGTTTGGGATTTTTATATTAGGGGTCCACTAGAGATGGATTCCCGAGTTGTTAAAAGATTGGAGATTTTGGATTGTAGGATTTTAAGTTATTAATATTTTAAGGTTTTTAT